AGTTATCCAACACTGCGTTGACAGACCGCAACTGGCATGCCCAGCGGTGTTGGATAACTGAACAAGTTCAGCTTTCTGCAGACCCAGTTGTTTCTGTACTTTTTCAAATTTCTGATGGTTAACAAGACTTCCACTAAAGAAAGAATACACGCTCTCCAACATGTCAAATCATTAATTCGCTTCTGGAATGGCTTTGCAGGTGTGGAACAACACCACATTTTATTCATGAGCGTAACAGTTGACGTAAATTGCTTCCGGATGTTTCTCACGGAAATGGGCCTGAACCCCACCAACTGCCCCACCCAGCTGTTCAGTTTGAGTCATATACCGAACACAGACTGCCAGCTGTTCAGTTTGAGTCATATACCGAACACAGACTGCCAGCTGTTCAGTTTGAGTCATATACCGAACACAGACTGCCAGCTGTTCAGTTTGAGTCATATACCGAACACAGACTGCCAGCTGTTCAGTTTGAGTCATATACCGAACACAGACTGCCAGCTGTTCAGTTTGAGTCATGTACCGAACACAGACTGCCAGCTGTTCAGTTTGAGTCATATACCGAACACAGACTGCCAGCTGTTCAGTTTGAGTCATATACCGAACACAGACTGCCAGCTGTTCAGTTTGAGTCATGTACCGAACACAGACTGCCAGCTGTTCAGTTTGAGTCATGTACCGAACACAGACTGCCAGCTGTTCAGTTTGAGTCATGTACCGAACACAGACTGCCAGCTGTTCAGTTTGAGTCATATACCGAACACAGACTGCCAGCTGTTCAGTTTGAGCCATATACCGAACACAGACTGCCAGCTGTTCAGTTTGAGCCATGTACCGAACACAGACTGCCAGCTGTTCAGTTTGAGTCATATACCGAACACAGACTGCCAGCTGTTCAGTTTGAGTCATATACCGAACACAAACTGCCAGCTGTTCAGTTTGAGCCATATACCGAACACAGACTGCCAGCTGTTCAGTTTGAGTCATATACCGAACACAGACTGCCAGCTGTTCAGTTTGAGTCATATACCGAACACAGACTGCCAGCTGTTCAGTTTGAGCCATATACCGAACACAGACTGCCAGCTGTTCAGTTTGAGTCATATACCGAACACAGACTGCCAGCTGTTCAGTTTGAGTCATATACCGAACACAGACGGCCAGCTGTTCAGTTTGAGTCATATACCGAACACAGACTGCCAGCTGTTCAGTTTGAGTCATATACCGAACACAGACTGCCAGCTGTTCAGTTTGAGTCATATACCGAACAAAGACTGCCAGCTGTTCAGTTTGAGTCATATACCGAACACAGACTGCCAGCTGTTCAGTTTGAGCCATATACCGAACACAGACTGCCAACTGTTCAGTTTGAGTCATATACCGAACACAGACTGCCAGCTGTTCAGTTTGAGTCATATACCGAACACAGACTGCCAGCTGTTCAGTTTGAGCCATATACCGAACACAGACTGCCAGCTGTTCAGTTTGAGCCATGTACCGAACACAGACTGCCAGCTGTTCAGTTTGAGTCATATACCGAACACAGACTGCCAGCTGTTCAGTTTGAGTCATATACCGAACACAGACTGCCAGCTGTTCAGTTTGAGCCATATACCGAACACAGACTGCCAGCTGTTCAGTTTGAGTCATATACCGAACACAGACTGCCAGCTGTTCAGTTTGAGTCATATACCGAACACAGACTGCCAGCTGTTCAGTTTGAGCCATATACCGAACACAGACTGCCAGCTGTTCAGTTTGAGTCATATACCGAACACAGACTGCCAGCTGTTCAGTTTGAGTCATATACCGAACACAGACGGCCAGCTGTTCAGTTTGAGTCATATACCGTACACAGACTGCCAGCTGTTCAGTTTGAGTCATATACCGAACACAGACTGCCAGCTGTTCAGTTTGAGTCATATACCGAACAAAGACTGCCAGCTGTTCAGTTTGAGTCATATACCGAACACAGACTTCCAGCTGTTCAGTTTGAGCCATTTACCGAACACAGACTGCCAACTGTTCAGTTTGAGTCATATACCGAACACAGACTGCCAGCTGTTCAGTTTGAGTCATGTACCGAACACAGACTGCCAGCTGTTCAGTTTGAGTCATGTACCGAACACAGACTGCCAGCTGTTCAGTTTGAGTCATGTACCGAACACAGACTGCCAGCTGTTCAGTTTGAGTCATATACCAAACACAGACTGCCAGCTGTTCAGTTTGAGTCATATACCGAACACAGACTGCCAGCTGTTCAGTTTGAGTCATATACCGAACACAGACTGCCAGCTGTTCAGTTTGAGTCATATACCGAACACAGACTGCCAGCTGTTCAGTTTGAGTCATATACCGAACACAGACTGCCAGCTGTTCAGTTTGAGTCATATACCGAACACAGACTGCCAGCTGTTCAGTTTGAGTCATATACCGAACACAGACTGCCAGCTGTTCAGTTTGAGTCATATACCGAACACAGACTGCCAGCTGTTCAGTTTGAGTCATATACCGAACACAGACTGCCAGCTGTTCAGTTTGAGTCATATACCGAACACAGACTGCCAGCTGTTCAGTTTGAGTCATATACCGAACACAGACTGCCAGCTGTTCAGTTTGAGTCATATACCGAACACAGACTGCCAGCTGTTCAGTTTGAGTCATATACCGAACACAGACTGCCAGCTGTTCAGTTTGAGTCATATACCGAACACAGACTGCCAGCTGTTCAGTTTGAGTCATATACCGAACACAGACTGCCAGCTGTTCAGTTTGAGTCATATACCGAACACAGACTGCCAGCTGTTCAGTTTGAGTCATATACCGAACACAGACTGCCAGCTGTTCAGTTTGAGTCATATACCGAACACAGACTGCCAGCTGTTCAGTTTGAGTCATATACCGAACACAGACTGCCAGCTGTTCAATTTGAGTCATATACCGAACACAGACTGCCAGCTGTTCAGTTTGAGTCATATACCGAACACAGACTGCCAGCTGTTCAGTTTGAGTCATATACCGAACACAGACTGCCAGCTGTTCAGTTTGTTTGACCCTGGCTTCATCTGCCATCACTGCAAATATTTTAGATTCCTTCATTTCCATGACAATTGTTGCTGTTATTTCTTCTGCGCAGCACTCAGTTAAGAGGTAGGTGCTGTGGGGACTCTTATCACGCTGCGTATACGAGCGTAACATGGAGAGAGGGAGGTGGGGACTCTTATCACGCTGCGTATACGAGCGTAACATGGAGAGAGGTAGGTGCTGTGGGGACTCTTATCACGCTGCGTATACGAGCGTAACATGGAGAGAGGTAGGTGGGGACTCTTATCACGCTGCGTATACGAGCGTAACATGGAGAGAGGGAGGTGGGGACTCTTATCACGCTGGGTATACGAGCGTAACATGGAGAGAGGGAGGTGGGGACTCTTATCACGCTGCGTATACGAGCGTGACATGGAGAGAGGGAGGTGGGGACTCTTATCACGCTGCGTATACGAGCGTGACATGGAGAGAGGGAGGTGGGGACTCTTATCACGCTGCGTATACGAGCGTAACATGGAGAGAGGTAGGTGCTGTGGGGACTCTTATCACGCTGCGTATACGAGCGTAACATGGAGAGAGGTAGGTGGGGACTCTTATCACGCTGCGTATACGAGCGTGACATGGAGAGAGGGAGGTGGGGACTCTTATCACGCTGCGTATACGAGCGTGACATGGAGAGAGGTAGGTGGGGACTCTTATCACGCTGCGTATACGAGCGTGACATGGAGAGAGGGAGGTGGGGACTCTTATCACGCTGCGTATATGAGCGTAAACATGGAGAGAGGTAGGTGGGGACTCTTATCACGCTGCGTATACGAGCGTGACATGGAGAGAGGGAGGTGGGGACTCTTATCACGCTGCGTATACGAGCGTGACATGGAGAGAGGTAGGTTGGGGACTCTTATCACGCTGCGTATACGAGCGTAACATGGAGAGAGGTAGGTGCTGTGGGGACTCTTATCACGCTGCGTATACGAGCGTAACATGGAGAGAGGTAGGTGGGGACTCTTATCACGCTGCGTATACGAGCGTGACATGGAGAGAGGGAGGTGGGGACTCTTATCACGCTGCGTATACACGTACATGGAGAGAGGTAGGTGGGGGACTCTTATCACGCTGCGTATACGAGCGTGACATGGAGAGAGGTAGGGGTGGGGACTCTTATCCACGCTGCGTATACGAGCGTGACATGGAGAGAGGTAGGTGCTGTGGGACTCTTATCACGCTGCGTATACGAGCGTGACATGGAGAGAGGGAGGGTGGGGACTCTTATCCACGCTGCGTATACGAGCGTGACATGGAGAGAGGGGAGGTGGGGGACTCTTATCACGCTGCGTATACGAGCGTGGCATGGAGAGGGAGTGGGGGGGACTCTTATCACGCTGCGTAAACCGAGCGTACATGGCTGGAAGAGGGAGTGTGTGGGGACTCTTATCACCTGCGTATACGAGCGTGACATGGAAGAGGGAGGTAGTGGGGACTCTTATCACTGCTGCGTATACGAGCGTGACATGGAGAGGAGGAGGTGGGGACTCTTATCACGCTCGTATACGAGCGTGACATGGAGAGAGGGAGGTGGGGGACTCCTTATCAACGCTGGCGTATACGAGCGTGACATGGAGAGAGTGGAGGTGGGGACTCTTATCACCTGCGTATACGAAGCGTGACATGGAGAGAGGGGAGGTGGGGGACTCTTATCACGCTGCGTATACGAGCGTGACATGGAGAGAGGGAGGTGGGGACTCTTATCACGCTGCGTATACGAGCGTGACATGGAGAGAGGGAGGTGGGGTACTCTTATCACGCTGCGTATACGAGCGTGACATGGAGAGAGGGAGGTTGGGGACTCTTATCACACTGCGTATACGAGCGTGACATGGAGAGAGGGAGGTGGGGACTCTTATCACGCTGCGTATACGAGCGTGACATGGAGAGAGGGAGGTGGGGGACTCTTATCACGCTGCGTATACGAGCGTGACATGGAGAGAGGTAGGTGTGGGGACTCTTATCACGCTGCGTATACGAGCGTGACATGGAGAGAGTGAGGTGGGGACTCTTATCACGCTGCGTATACGAGCGTGACATGGAGAGAGGGAGGTGGGGACTCTTATCACGCTGCGTATACGAGCGTAACATGGAGAGAGGGAGGTGGGGACTCTTATCACGCTGCGTATACGAGCGTAACATGGAGAGAGGGAGGTGGGGACTCTTATCACGCTGCGTATACGAGCGTGACATGGAGAGAGGGAGTTGGGGACTCTTATCACGCTGCGTATACGAGCGTGACATGGAGAGAGGGAGGTGGGGACTCTTATCACGCTGCGTATACGAGCGTGACATGGAGAGAGGTAGGTGCTGTGGGGACTCTTATCACGCTGCGTATACGAGCGTGACATGGAGAGAGGGAGGTGGGGACTCTTATCACGCTGCGTATACGAGCGTGACATGGAGAGAGGTAGGTGGGGACTCTTATCACGCTGCGTATACGAGCGTGACATGGAGAGAGGGAGGTCTGTGGGACTCTTATCACGCTGCGTATACGAGCGTGACATGGAGAGAGGGAGGTGGGGACTCTTATCACGCTGCGTATACGAGCGTGACATGGAGAGAGGGAGGTGGGGACTCTTATCACGCTGCGTATACGAGCGTGACATGGAGAGAGGGAGGTGGGGACTCTTATCACGCTGCGTATACGAGCGTGACATGGAGAGAGTAGGAGTGCTTGGGGACTCTTATCACGCTGCGTATACGAGCGTGACATGGAGAGAGGGAGGTGGGGACTCTTATCACGCTGCGTATACGAGCGTGACATGGAGAGAGGTAGGTGGGGACTCTTATCACGCTGCGTATACGAGCGTGACATGGAGAGAGGGAGGTGGGGACTCTTATCACGCTGCGTATACGAGCGTGACATGGAGAGAGGTAGGTGGGGACTCTTATCACGCTGCGTATACGAGCGTGAACATGGAGAGAGGTATGGTGGGGACTCTTATCACGCTGCGTATACGAGCGTACATGGAGAGAGGAGGTGGGGACTCTTATCACGCTGCGTATACGAGCGGACATGGAGAGAGGGAGTGGGGACTCTTATCACGCTGCGTATACGAGCGTGACATGGAGAGAGGTAGGTGGGGACTCTTATCACGCTGCGTATACGAGCGTGACATGGAGAGAGGGAGGGGGGGATCTTATCACGCTGCGTATACGAGCGTGACATGGAGAGAGGTAGGTGGGGACTCTTATCACGCTGCGTATACGAGCGTGACATGGAGAGAGGGAGGTGGGGACTCTTATCACGCTGCGTATACGAGCGTGACATGGAGAGAGGTAGGTGGGACTCTTATCACGCTGCGTATACGAGCGTGACATGAGAGAGAGGGAGGGTGGGGACTCTTATCACGTTGCGTATACGAGCGTGACATGGAGAGAGGTGGTGGGGACTCTCTATCATGCTGCGTATACGAGCTACATGCGAAGAGGTGGTCTGTGGGATTGATGTTCTCCTGTGCTTCCCCTCGCTCTGCTTGTCTCTGTCGCCTCCCCTCTCTCTCTCTCTGTTCTCCTGTCCCCTCCCCTCTCCTCTCTCTCTATGTTCTCCTGTCCCCTCCCCTCTCTCTCTCTCTCTATGTTCTCCTGTCCCTCCCCTCCCTCTCTCTCTATGTTCTCCTGTCCCCTCCCCTCTCCTCTCTCTCTCTGTTCTCCTGTCCCCTCCCCTCTCCCCTCTCTCTATGTTCTCCTGTGTTCTCCTCGCTCTGTCCTGTCTGCTCCCCTCTCTCTATGTTCTCCTGTCCCCTCCCCTCTCTCTGTTCTCCTGTCCCCTCCCCTCTCTCTCTCTGTTCTCCTGTGTTCTCCTCGCTCTGTCCTGTCCCCTCCCCTCTCTCTCTCTGTTCTCCTGTGTTCTCCTCGCTCTGTCCTGTCCCCTCCCCTCTCTCTCTCTGTTCTCCTGCATGCTCCTGTCTGTCCTTTGTGGGCATCTGTCTCTCTATGTATATGCAGAATAATATCAGTGAATTTGCAATTGTATTGTAAACACACACAATCTATTCACTTACTCCTGCAAATAGAACAACAGTCTCTGTTTGCTGAGCTGCATCTCTCTTCCTCTTTCTGAAGAATAAATTCTGTATGTTTATCTTCTATAAGTTGGAAAAACAATGTTAACTCAGCTATCCAGCTTTGTTTTTTCAACAGATAATTGGGCTGGCGTTACCAAAAGTAGCTAACGTCATGTTATCCATTGTCACACCTCAAGTTAGCTAGCTACTGTAGCTAGCTAGCTTTATTAGCAAGTTTTAGCATATTTGGACAGTAATTGATTAGACAGTAATTTATTAGTTAGTGATACTTTTTGGGTGGTGAACAGAGCTCCAGCAGTTGGATTCAGTGTCCAGATAGATAATCAATTACTGTCAAAACCCTGCTCATAAAATTTGCCATCTAGCTAATGTTAGCAGCACTTTTATCTAGACAAGCTAGCTTAACGTTATCTGTCAGTGCAACTTTTGAGTCGACAACATGTTGAAATGTAAGTTACTTGAATCTGGCTTACTGTGAGGTCAATAACTTTGAATTACCTCATCATGGACTAACAAAATTAACTATAGTAGTAACAAGCTAACACATTTTACCTCAGGTTCTCCCTCTCATCTTTGCGCTCTCTCCCTCAGAGAAGGAACAGTCGCCGGCGCACGCCAAAATAGAATTTCTTTGCACTAATTAAAAAGGACTTTGGAAACAACTTTGACTCCGCCTCCTAAAGTACAACCGTACACAGAAATGCTGGTTTTAGGCAACAATGGCAGGGCAGGCCGGGGCTCATGATTGGAGGATTCATTGCAGTGTGTAATGCAGTGTAGCCTAGTTTGTTTTACACTATCCCAGCAGGGCAAAATAACTTGGGGCCAAAATCATTCGAGGCTAAAGCCCGGGCCTGATGACCTCAATGATCAGGATCAAATCCTCTGTTCTCCTCGAGCTCATTAATGATAGAATGTTCATATTTGAAGATGGCAGAAAGACCAGTCTCTTTGGCACATGACATGGGGTGTTTCTCAAAATGCTCTGAGCACGGGAGGGTCGGAGAATGAGTCCAAATCAACGTATGCGAAACGGAGTTCTCGAATGTGTACATATTTTGAAGTATGCATCGATGCAAACTTCAACAGAAAGTATGCAAAGAAATATGATGCAACCAAGTTAAAATGATGCACATTTTCTTGAAATCACTGACGGCCATTATTTGAGCTCAAGGGAGAGAAAATACACTCCGACTTAGGAATGAAATGTGTTGCCTGACTACAATATCTTATCTTTGCTACGTTAATAAATACATGCTGTGTGAATTTTGGCATTGTGCACCTGCCTACAATACCCACTGTAGTGTGCGTAGGTCGTAAGCCCATAGTAAGTCAATAGAGCTAACTGGCTAGCTACTACCGTTAGCTAGCCAGAAAGCCACGAATAATTGACATCAACCTTGGATAACATTAGTTTTAGGTCATTTTTACCTGTTATACTAACTGGTTAGCTACATTATTATGATTCCCAAATACAGTTGAAGTCGGAAGTTTACATACACCTTAGCCAAATACATTTAAACTCAGTTTTTCACAATTCCTGACATTTAATCCTAGTAAAAATTCCCTGTCTTAGGGTCAGTTAGGATCACCACTTTATTTTAAGAATGTGAAATGTCAGAATAATAGTAGAGAGAATGATTTATTTCAGCTTTTATTTCTTTCATCACATTCCCATTGGGTCAGAAGTTTACATAAACTCAATTAGTATTTGGTAGCATTGCCTTTAAATTGTTTAACTTGGGTAAAACATTTCAGGTAGCCTTCCACAAGCTTCCCACAATAAGTTGGGTGAATTTTGGCCCAGTCCTCCTGACAGAGCTGGTGTAACTGAGTCAGGTTTGTAGGCCTCCTTGCTCGCACACGCTTTTTCAGTTCTGCCCACACATCTTCTAAAGGATTGAGGTCAGGGCTTTGTGATGGCCACTCCAATACCTTGACTTTGTTGTCCTTAAGCCATTTTGCCACATCTTTGGAAGTATGCTTGGGGTCATTGGGTTCATTTGGACCCATTAGTGACCAAACTTTAACTTCCTGACTGATGTCTTGAGATGTTGTTTCAATATATCCACATAATTTTCCTTCCTCATGATGCCATCTATTTTGAGAAGTGCACCAGTCCCTCCTGCAGCAAAGCACCCCCACAGCATGATGCTGCCACCCCCATGCTTCACGGTTGTGATGGTGTTCTTCAGCTTGCAAGCAACACCCTTTTTCCTCCAAACATAACGGTGGTCATTATGGCCAAACAGTTCTATTTTTGTTTCATCAGACCACAGGACAGTTCTCCAAAAAGTACGATCTTTGGGCCCATGTGCAGTTGCAAACCGTAGTCTGGCTTTTTTATGGCGGTTTTGGAGCAGTGGCTTCTTCCTTGCTGAGCGGCCTTTCAGGTTATGTTGATATAGGACTCGTTTTACTGTGGATATAGATACATTTACATTTACATTTTAGTCATTTAGCAGACGCTCTTATCCAGAGCGACTTACAGGAGCAATTAGGGTTAAGTGCCTTGCTCAAGGGCACATTAACGTCATTTAGCAGACGCTCTTAGCCAGAGCGACTCACAAATTGGTGCGTTCACCCTATAGCCAGTGGGATAACCACTTTACAATTTGGGGGGGGGGGTAGAAGGATTACTTTATCCTATCCCAGGTATTCCTTAAAGAGGTGGGGTTTCAAATGTCTCCGGAAGGTGGTGAGTGACTCCGCTGTCCTGGCGTCGTGAGGGAGCTTGTTCCACCATTGGGGTGCCAGAGCAGCGAACAGTTTTGACTGGGCTGAGCGGGAACTATGCTTCCGCAGAGGAAGGGGAGCCAGCAGGCCAGAGGTGGATGAACGCAATGCCCTCGTTTGGGTGTAGGGACTGATCAGAGCCTGAAGGTACAGAGGTGCCGTTCCCCTCACTGCTCCATAGGCAAGCACCATGGTCTTGTAGCGGATGCGAGCTTCAACTGGAAGCCAGTGGAGTGTGCGGAGGAGGGGGGTGACGTGAGAGAACTTGGGAAGGTTGAACACCAGACGGGCTGCGGCATTCTGGATGAGTTGTAGGGGTTTAATGGCACAGGCAGGGAGGCCAGCCAACAGCGAGTTGCAGTAGTCCAGACGGGAGATGACAAGTGCCTGGATTAGGACCTGTGCCGCTTCCTGTGTAAGGCAGGGTCGTACCTGTTTCCTCCAGCATCTTCACAAGGTCCTTTGCTGTTGTTCTGGTATTGATTTGCACTTTTCGCACCAAAGTACGTTCATCTCTAGGAGACAGAACGCGTCTCCTTCCTGAGCGGTATGACGGCTGCGTGGTCCCATGGTGTTTATACTTGCGTACTATTGTTTGTACAGATGAACGTGGTACCTTCAGGCGTTTGGAAATTGCACCCAAGGATGAACCAGACTTGTGGAGGTCTACAATTCTTTTTCTGAGGTCTTGGCTGATTTATTTTGATTTTCCCATGATGTCAAGCAAAGAGGCACTGAGTTTGAAGGTAGACCTTGAAATACATCAACAGGTACACCTCCAATTGACTCCAATGATGTCAATTAGCCTATCAGAAGCTTCTAAAGCCATTACATCATTTTCTGGAATTTTCCAAGCTGTTTAAAGGCACAGTCAACTTAGTGTATGTAAACTTCTGACCCACTGGAATTGTGATACAGTGAATTATAAGTGAAATAATCTGTCTGTAAACAATTGTTGGAAAAATTACTTGTGTCATGCACAGATGTCCTAACCGACTTGCCAAAACGATAGTTTAGTGGTTAAGAGCATTGTGCCAGTAACCGAAAGGTCGCTGGTTCTAATCTCTGAGCCGACTAGGTGAAAAATCTGTCGATGTGCCCTTGAGCAAGGCACTTAACCCTAATTGCTCCTGTAAGTCGCTCGGGATAAGAGCGTCTGCTAAATGACTAAAAACGTAAAAAAATGTAAAAATGTAAACAATACATTTGTGGAGTGGTTGAAAAAATAGTTTTAATGACTCCAACCTAAGTGTATGTAAACTTCCGACTTCAACTGTATCGAGCTGATAGTTCTGAAGTAAAACGTTTGCTTTGTGTATATCTTGTTTCGTCTCTATCGCCATTGTCTGGCTAGAAGAAGGAAGGTTCAGTGAATGGGTACAGTAAGTCCACAGTAAGTCAATAGGGCTAACTGGCTAGTTAGCTAGCCATGAAGAATTGACATCTACCTTCCATAACATTAGTTTTAGGTAATTTATACCTGTTTACGATTCACATATATCGAGCT